TATTAGTATATGCAGTATCAGTATCGTACGATATCATTATTTTATGTGCATGTAGAGGCCTTTTGTGAAATAGTGCTACTTACACTGTACAACCAAGAAAGCACGATCGGATTCTGCATTATTGAGGCTGTTGTTAGCTTTACATTGGTAAGTCCCCGCTTCATCTCTCGTCAAATTATTTATCGTTAAAGATGCCGATATAACATTATCGCTTGTTGGCGAAGGGGTAATAACACTGTACTTCATGGAGCCATCATTTGTATTGATAAGTGCACCTTCGTACAACCACGTTACTGTGGATATTGGGWTGCCGGCGTCTATATCACAATTGAAAGTTGCACTTTGTTTTTCGATCTTGGTAACATTGCTTGGTGCAGATTTGATCGAYGGTGGATCTGTAATGAAATTCAAGCACAACTAAACGAGATTTGTMTTACSAATAAATTAGTAAAAACACATATATACGGAAAACGATTTCTGTTCTACCACAGTATTATATTTTTCATCATTTTCCTCAAAATTTTACTTTAAGCTATACTTACAGTTAACCGTGATGTACGCCGAATKTGACACKGTAGAGCTGMCATTGTTAGTACYGTTACAATAGTAGAAACCTTTATCARCTCTAGTGATGTTTGTTATTGTTAAACTATTACTGCTGTCTTGRGTCAGTCTTCCTGATATAGAAAGGAGTTGATTGTCYTTCCACCACGTAACGGTAGGTTCTGGATTGCCACTAACATTGCAGTGKAMTGTAAYGGTTTCCCATTCCTTTGCTGTTGTATTTTGTGGGTGTGTTATGATAGATGGTGCTTCTGAAGCTGAAAGGAAACGGAAATTGTTCCTTTAGAATTTTGGAGGTTTTCAGAGCTGAATAGCCCATATCTAAAGTGTTTGGGTGCTGACTATCTTGTGTAAAAAGGGAATTCAGTAGTACTACTACACTCGCCTTTACCTTAACATAGGCAGTTTCTAGGGCGTTTTCTGTCTAGAGCCTCTCTACTATTTTGTATTCAAGTATCTAATTATTAACTGTAACTTTGTTTTGAAAGAATTTTTTATTACTATAATCTTATGTATCGAAACTTAATCGAAACTACTGCATCTCCTCCACGAGAGTATTCCGCATTACGCATGCGCGATGTGGATAATCGTTGCTGATGGCTAAAGTGGTATGTTAAAATACAGGCTGGAATAGCCTCGAATCTTTGTGTAAATTGATTGTTTATTCTATTGTTTTCTATCCTAGGAACGAGGCTATTTCACTATTTCCGCCTGCACTGAAATTTCAATATCCAATAGCCTCAGGGGACGAGATGTTTTTTTTTTTTTGCATTTCTCAGTAATCCACGCATGCGTGATCATGTATGGCAATATGAATGCAGGCACGAACTGAAAGTGTGCCGTTATTTCTCGTAAAATGACCTACAAACAAAAATATCTGCCTTTGAAAGATCACTAAGTGTGATATTAAAAAAAGGATTTTTTTGTAATCTAAAAAAATTAAAATCCTTTTAATTAAAAAAATTAAATTAAAAAATGCAAATGCTTTTAATTTAAGGGTTAAGAATAATACTGATGACCAGTAACAAGTACAGCGGATAGGAATGAACATTATGTCRTGKATCAGGATCAAAGTTGTGATTGATTGGCAAGGATCCGGATACAAAATAATCTTTATGWTCAGACAGTGAATCACTGAAAAAAACTAAAAACCTCGTAACTTGTTACCGTGGAAAGAAATGTAAACCTATATAACCGCAACTTTTTCAGTTACGCCGYACAGCTTCAGATTTAGTGTCATTCAWAGGCAATATATACTTGGAATTGGAATACTTTGCCTCTGGCTTAGATATATCATAAAATATTATTCAYGTTTCGGTCTGCTAACACAGACCTTCATTAGTGCTTGTTAATATCGTCAACTGCCTGTCGAAACTTGCTTCGCTCTCAGTTCTCGGCACTTATGGTGCGCGCTGTAAACTTTATATAAAATATATACATCTACTTGCAGAAACGTTGTCATAGAAAATAGAACATTTGAATTTAGTAAAAAGGAATAAATTGAAACAAGACAAAAGAGAGCGTTCAGCCTAAGTGATCTTCTTTTGTCTTTTTAATTAATTCCTTTTCACTAAAATACAAATGTCCTATTTTTTTATGACAACGTTTTAGCAAGTAGGTATATTTCAAAAAAAAAATTAAAAATTAAAAACAAAAGAACTTTAGGTTGCCTTAAAATATTGTTTCATGATGTGATATTGGAAGTTGAGCTGAACGATGTTTATAAATGTTCTGCGTGCTTAGTTACAATAAATGCAAAAAATGCAATGTATCATTTGTAGTTCCTACCAAACTATTTTTGATKCAAAATTCAATTCGACTATAGTTCTTCGATTTTTATTATAAATAAAACTGTGTTGTCTAAATTAACGAAACTGCTTTTAATTACCGTCAAGTGTGTATGTTTTTCGTGGAAATTTCGTCCGTTATGAACCCAAGTGATAGCGGACCTTTTACATGACGAAATACGATCAGAATGTCGAGTCTAGCCATTAAAAAGGGGAAAAAATCGGTTTAAAAAAGTGTTATAAAGTAAGAAACAGTATAATGTACACCCACATATAGAAGGTTCATTTTTCTATATGACATCCAGTCAAACGCCACACTTATGAGACGCGGAAGAAAGAAAAAAAAATCRCTGAGCTGATCAATTAAGATGAATTTGGACATCACATCAAAATCCGTCTCACCAAAGCTTTTTCCGCTTSTGTTTCTCTGAAAAACAGAGTTAGTTTTACCAGAGCAACATTTAATGCGTCAACTAATACCGAGGAGATTAAGAAATTATAGGAATGTCAGCGAAAATATCAAAATACCATACACATGACAATGAATATCCTTGAGAGGAGTGGGGAGGCGGAAGTTTTGGATATAACGATTTCAATCCACTCCTGAATACAATCTTAAGTCAAATTAACAGTTAAAAATCAAACCAAAATCTTTCTTATTCATTGCACAATGAATAAGACCGACACACTTTGTTGCGATTTGAACAGACAGACCATTTAATTCAAGTTAATCTGAAGATGTTATTCAGCATAATGCTTTGAAGACCTTTGAATGGTTTCGATAACATTTAAGTCTTACCTTGAGTAAGTTGCTGAGTTAAACCCACAAGAACAAGAACACAAATTACAAGCATCGTATGTCTTTTGATTAGAAGGACGAATTGCGTATACTAGCCCATTTTCCCCTTCTAGGACATCCTGAACAATATACACAACCGAGCAATATCGCGAGACTCGCAGGCAGGGGACCTTTGGTTAAGTTTCGAGTGTACGTCACATGCGTGATGGCTGAACGAGYTCTAATTACAAAATCGTGATTGGTTGTTTGGTCTTGTTTTTACTTTTAACATGTTTATAATACAAAGAACATCATGTTGATCCRTTCAACGGGACAACATTTTGATC